GCCTAAGGCCATGGGCTGCCTGCAGAGCGTCGCGTGTAAGGCGCGCGTGCGGCGCGACAACATCGTCCTGAGCGACGTGTCCGCCACCATCGAGCCGGGCGCCACCGCCATCGAGGAGAGCTCGCCTGTCGTGCTGCGCTACCGCACGCCCTACTTCCGCGCCGCCGCCCGGGGCATCATGCCGCCCATCCCGCGCCGCCACACCTGGGTGGTGGGCTGGGTGCAGGCCTGCAACCACATGGAGTTCTACAACACCTACAGCGACCTGGGCATGTAAGGGACCCCCGGTATCCCCATATCTTCTCCTGCACCCCCACATCCTGTCCTGTACCCCCCTGCAACCACATGGAGTTCTACAACACCTACAGCGACCTGGGCATGTAAGGGACCCCCGGTATCCCCATATCTTCTCCTGCACCCCCACATCCCGCCCTGCACCCCCCCCTGTAACCACATGGAGTTCTACAACACCTACAGTGAATTGAGCATGTAAGGGACCCCCGGTACCCCCATATCCTCTCCTGCACTCTGACATCCCACCCTGCAACCCGGTACACCTACCCCCCCCCTGTACCCCCGCCGCAACCGCATGGAGTTCTACAACACCTACAGTGACCTGAGCATGTAAGGGACCCCCCCTGTGCCCCTATATCCCCCTGCACCCACCCTGTTCCCTGGTACTCTTACCTCCGCCCTGAAGCCCTGCCCTGCACCCTCCCACACACCCTGGTACTTCTACCCCTGCCCTGCACTCCCACCCTGTAACTATATGGAGTTCTATAACACAGCAATCTGGGCATGTAAGGGACCCTGGCATCCCTCTGCACCCCACATCCTACTCTGCACCCCACATCTGCCTGATACCCCCCATGCATCCCTCAACCCCCAACCTGTAACATCTACAGCAACTTGGTTGTGTAAAGTCATCCCCTCCGCCTCCATACCATCCCGTACAACACCTACAGTGACCTGGGCATGTAAAGGACTGCAGTTACCCCACCCCCTCCACGTTCCTTTGCCCTTCCAGCCCCGCCCTCCCCATTTCACCACCCCCCCCCATCCCTTACAGCACCTATAGTGGCCTGTGCATGTACGGGACACCAACAGCCCATCTCACATCACTCCATTTCCCACTCTGCACCCCAGCACTAGAAGGGAAGGGTTCTGTCACTTTAAGAGCATGGAAGGAGAGAAAGCACTAACCTATTAACATTGCATGGACAGTGGGAATCCCGCCAGCCATTTATTGCTGTGTGTGTGTCTGTGTGTGTGTTTTGCAGCTCAACTTGGTAGAATAGGGGTGAGCAAAATTGCTTTCCTGCCTGTTGCCTGGGAATGCTAAGGCGGGTTCGGATTCTCTTCTGCCTGCTTGCGTGGAAGGGAGTGGTGCAGGAAGTCTTCCTGTTAATGCTGGGATTTCCAGCCTCCCCGTGAATGCAGAGTATCCGGGTGTCCCATTCTGTTTTGCTTGAAGTGTTCATTGACAAATGTCACCCTGTGGAACCAGAGAGAGCGGAAAGATCCCCACATTCCTCTGAGTGCTTTGTGGAATTGTCATTGTGTGCGTGTCCTGACTGGGAGCTGGCAGGCTCTGCTAATACCCACCTAATCATTATGCTGACACCCAGTTATCATGGGGAACGACTGTAATACTAGTGTAATGTTACTAAATTGGGCATATTGCATAAAACCCTACTGAAAGAACTGTTGGAAAAGGCTTGGGGGCATTCTCTTACAGAGAATGAAGAGCCCTGTACTGGTGTCAGCAATACCCTTTAATCTTCGGGCCTTCCTAATCACAAGTGTGCGCTGCTTTATGGTGCTATTACAGTGCACAGATCCTCACCCTTCTTAATGAGCAGCCTGTTACCTATGCGACACCAAGAAAGAGATGTGGTCTTGATTGTTAGGTGTAGTCGACAGCAGCTGAGATTGCTTATGATTTTATCCTCTGAATTTCATTTTAGGGCAGGAAGTGGATCAGGTGTTAAAGGTGTTTTGTTAGTTTTAGCTGTTAAATGAATACAAACTGTCTCGGCGCAATTCACAGCTGGTGAGAAACAATTCCTTTTTGAACGAGAGATGTGGCTTGCAAGGTTTGTCTTAAAACTTCTATGTAGTGGACTTGTAAGGGCTCTCTGGATTAATAGATGTTAAAGCCAAACAGGGCTGTTATGATCATCTCTTGCATAACACAGGCAGAGAACTTCACCCAGTGATTCCTGAACCAAACCCATATCCAAGTCCCTGATAGCTATCTTGAATCAATCCAAAAGGTAACCAATTAAAATGAAGTCAAGGTGCCTTGTAGGTTTTGGTTCTAGTCTGCTGGGTGCTTAATTGTAATACTAGTCATGCTTCAGGAATTCGAGTCAAAGGCTATAGAAAGACTGCACCATCTAAGTACTTTTTAAAACCGGAGGTGGACTTAGTGTTTTATCAGGAATTGTTGGCACTTATAAGAGTTATTATCGGTTGATGACTCTGGCTAGTGCATCCTTCTCTAGATGCATCTGGGTTGTGGGAATGTAGAGGAGGCTTATTATAGTAGATGAATTGTATCTTTTTTTTTAAAAAAAGGAATATTTGTGTTTGTGTTCTGTGTGTAACCGTCATTACAAACTTAATTTTTCCAGGCTAATAAGTGTGTGCTGATAACTTGGGAGAGAGCTGAAAAATGGAGCCATGTGCTTTGTTTGTTGTGTTGGAGTCTTGTTTTCCACAGCCTAAAAAAGGCGATGTGTCTTTTATGGACTTGTAGTATACTCCCTGCGCTGGCATTTGGGTGCATTGCATGTGAAAACGGACATGAATTTATGATTGCTGAGTTTGCAATTGAGTGAATGTGGACTGTGTTGCTGGGTAGAGGTCGTGCCTCGGCATCTGAACATTGCATGCTTCATTATTAGGAACCTTGTTGTCTTATGCTGTGTACCGCGTGCTGCCGCTTATTCCTGCACAAAATGGCGGTAAAATGCTTCCCAGTAAAGTAGTGGTAGGGTTTTATGCTTGCTTTGCCCTTAGTGAAATGAGGACACGATCTGTAGGACAATAGAGAATCAGGCTTTCTGTGTGTGGCTCTACATCATAAAGACTGCTCCGAGTGCTTCCTAAACAAGGAAAATGTTCAGAAAAATCAAGCTGCTCCTTGAAACATGTTTTATTAAGGGACCAATAACACCCCCCCCATCTGAAGTTCTCTGTATTTTGGGGTTTTCTGTAATGTGCATTGTGGTAGTACCCGAGGCCGTGTCTACACTGCAAACTTTGGTTGATGTAAGCTATGTCGACATAAAGCCACCACTGTTGGTATTTAGCTTGTACGCGTACATACTTGCCTCTTTGCATTGGTGCTGTGTGTACTCAGTAGGAATGCTTGTGTCAGTGCACAGTGCAGTGCACCATGGGTAGGTATACCAATGTGCAACTTGTCATTTTCCGGCGCACTGTCTTTTGGGAAATTTTGGCACTGCATGGTAAGGCAAAAATGAGTCACGCAGCGATGACTGGGAGTGAGGGGTCAATTCCCATCATGCAACTTTCTCCATCCCATAATGCCATTCCTATCCCACAATTTTTGCGCCTTTTTTAAAAATCCTACAAACATGCACTGACAGAAGCATGGAGCCTGCACAGCTCTGCACTATTGTCATGTTCATCTGGAATCTGCAGAGCCACAAGAAGGACTGCAGCAGAGGGGAAATGATGATTGCTGTGGGATATAGCAAAAACCAATTTAAGATTGATGATGGTGTTCATAGAGCAGCTGCAGCCTTGGAGAGCTCCTTCTGGGCCTGACAATTTAAGCACTGACTGGTGGGATCACATCACAATGTAGGTTTGGGAGGACGAGCAGTGGCTGCAGAACTTTTGGGTGCGGAAGGTCACATTCCTGGATGTGTGGTTCGAGCTCGCCCCAGCCCTCCAGCGCAGGGACACCAGAATGAATCATTGAATCATAGAAGATTAGGGTTGGAAGAGACTTCAAGAGGTCATCTAGTCCAACCCCCTGCTTAAAGCAGGACCAACACCAACTAAATCATCCCAGACAGGGCTTTGTCAAGCCGGGCTGCGCTGACAATTGAGAAGCAAGAGGTGATGACACTGTGGAAGCTTGCAACGCCAGATTGCTGCCAGTTAGCAGGAATTCAGTTTGGAGTTGGAAAATCCACTCTGGGGGCCGTTGTCATGCAAGTGTGCAGGGCCATTAATCGTCTCCTGCTATGCAGGACTGTGACTGTCGGCAATGTGCGGGACCATAGTGGATGGATTTGCCACAATGTGGTTCCTGAACTGCAGTGTGGCGATAGCACACATATATCTATTTTGGCACCAGTCCACTTTGGCACAGAGTACACCAACAGAAAGGGCTACTTTTCTATGGTTATGCAAGTATTGGTGGATCGCTTCACCGACTTCAAAGTTGGTTAGTCTGGGAAGGTGCATGATGCGTGTATCTTTAAGAACACAGATCTGTTTGGAAAGCTACAAGCAGGAACTTTCTTTCCTGACTGGCAGATTTATCACTGGTAGTGCTGAAATGCCAGTAGTGAACCTGGAAGACCCAGCCTCCCCCTTACTCCTCTGGCTCATGAAGCCATACATCGACCGCCTCAACAGCACCAAGCAAAGATTCAGCTACTGGTGCTTGGTGCAAATTTGGGATTATAATACTGTTTGCTAATGCACCTGTTAATGTTGTGGTGCATGCTGTACTTTTATAATTATTGCACTGTTTGTCACTGATCCCATGAGTTCTGTACAATACCAAATAGCTGGGCACTTTCAGTAATACTAGACATGCGGTATTATAGGTTGTGAAATAAACATGAATTACATTCTCAAAAATATATTTTTATTGTGTACCAAGACCAGTGCATAGACGCTATCTACAATTAAAGAACAAATACAAGAAAGACTTTGGAAATAAAGGAAAAGAACCAAACAAGGTGAAGGAACATTCATGTTCATTTCAGTCCATTTCGGCTACACATACAGGAACGATGGCTCTCACTGGTTAATGTATGTGAAGCTGGGTTGTCCTTACTGTCCCCGGTGCAGAGTGGTAGGGGTGGGGATGTGACCCTTGATGCCATGTGAAATGTTGATGGAGGCTGTAGGGAGATGATGCAGTGGAGCTCTCCGCTGACTGCAAAGGGAGGTGAGACTGTGATTGTTGAACCTGTAGGTCCACTGGAGTCTGCAGCATCTGTGCTACTTGTGGTACTTCCCCATTATGTCCTGATGCATCTCACTCTCCCATGGGTGGCCAG